TAGAGTTCAGAACCACACTTTTAAGGTCTCTCAAGAACTGTTTAGAAGCCGCCGATAAACTTAATGAGATCTACAAGAAAACTAATGAGACCCTCGATGTTATGTTGGGGAACCAACTAGAAATTAAGCATACACGGACTGAAATAACGAATATTATACAGACTCCCGACAGCAGACCAGAGGAGTGCAAGAATCAAGTCACATTTGAAATGTGAGGAAGCAAAAAACACCCAACCGGAGGGGCGGAATGAAAAAAGAATCCAAAAATGCGAGGATAGTGTAAGGAGCCTCTGGGACAGCTTCAAGCGTACCAACATCAGAATTATAGGGGTGCCAGAAGATGAGAGAGAGCAAGATATTGAAAACCTATTTGAAGAAATAATGACAGAAAACTTCCCCCACCTGGTGAAAGAAATGGACTTACAGGTCCAAGAAGCGCAGAGTACCCCAAACAAAAGGAATCCAAAGAGGACCACACCAAGACACATCATAATTAAAATGCCAAGAGCAAAAGATAAAGAGAGAATCTTAAAAACAGCAAGAGAAAGAAACTCAGTTACCTACAAGGGAATACCCATACGACTGTCAGCTGATTTCTCAACAGAAACTTTGCAGGCCAGAAGGGAGTGGCAAGAAATATTCAAAGTGATGAATACCAAGAACCTACAACCAAGATTACTTTATCCAGCAAAGCTATCATTCAGAATTGAAGGTCAGATAAAGAGCTTCACAGATAAGGAAAAGCTAAAGGAGTTCATCACCACCAAACCAGGATTATATGAAATGCTGAAAGGTATCCTTTAAGAAGAGGAAGAGGAAGAAAAAGGTAAAGATACAAATTATGAACAACAAATATGCATCTATCAACAAGTGAATCTAAGAATCAAGTGAATAAATAATCTGATGAACAGAATGAACTGGTGATTATAAATAGAATCAGGGACATAGAAAGGGAATGGACTGACTATTCTTGGGGGGGAAAGGGGTGTGGGAGATGCGGGAAGAGACTGGACAAAAATCGTGCACCTATGGATGAGGACAGTGGGTGGGGAGTGAGGGCGGAGGGTGGGGCGGGAACTGGGAGGAGGGGAGTTATGGGGGGGGAAAAAGAGGAACAAATGTAATAATCTGAACAATAAAGATTTAATTAAAAAAAAAAAGAACTATGACAAAAAAAAGTGGGAACAAATTCGGGAAATTAAGTACCCTTTGGTGAGAGCTAAGTTTCACCTTTCTAGTTCTTAAAGAGTTTTCAAGAACTTAAAAACAGGTGAACAATGGTCTGGTGTTTTGTAACACAATGTGACATTTTTGCATCACAATGCAAGGAAAAGAAGACCATTATTAGCCTTAGACACTGTCAAGGCCACAAGGTCAGCTGACTCTGGAGTTCAATCATGTAAAGATTTTCAAACTATTATGTGCATCAGGATCTCAGAGGAGGTGCCTTGGCTGGTTTGGCTCAGTTGATAGAACATCAACCTGTGGACTGAAGGGTCCTGGGTTCAATTCCCAGTAGGGGGCGTGCAGAAGGCAGCCAATCAATGAGTCTCTCTCATCATTGATGTTTCTATCTCCCTCTCCCGGAAATCAATAAACATATATTTAAAAAAAAAAAAAAAAAAAAGAATGTGGGAAGGGGAGGGCTGGGTCAGTGTGCATGAGGGGGAAGCTTGTACGAGTTTTTATATGCCAGGCTTTGCATCTGATCCAAACCTCAGGAGTTCACTCCGAACCACAGCCATAGAGATCCCAGCCCTCCACCAGCACACACATAGACTAAGGTGCCCGGACTACAGCGTCCAGCAGGGTTCTTCCTTGCCTAAGCCCCTCTGCCCCCTCCCCTACTGTGGGCAGGCCTCACCTGAAGAAGAAGCTGGTGAGGCAGCAATGGGATCAGGCTGGCTTATTCAAATCTGCTGTTTTCACACTGTGCTGGGCCAGGTGCAGGTGGGGACAGTGAGATGAGCTACACCCACCTCTTCTGACACAGAGAGGCCTGGGCACATTTGGCTCCTTGAAGAGCAGACAGGGGACCTCCTTCTTTCACCTTTGCCCCAAGGCAATCTTGCTCTCAGGGACAAAAGGCAGAATGGGGCCTCAGGACATCAGATGGACATTGGTACCTACACTGGCCACCTCCTCCATCAGTGCCCCTTAATTTCTGTAGACAGATTCACTCAGTCATTCTTCCCTCTGGGTGAGGCTCCAGCCTTCCTCAATCAAGTAGATGCAAAAAGCACAGGTTTTGGAGTGGAGTCTGAGCTCCAGTGCCAGCTCCACATTTGCGGCAGTGTGACCTTACGTCACTGAACCAGCATGAGTCTCAGGATGTTCTGAGGCATCGTGCCAGCCCTCAACAACTATCAGCGTGCCCGCCTGCTCGTTTTCAGAAGGGCCTGGCCGGAGGCATCGCTGAATCCACCCAGCCCCCCAGGATCAAACTGGGAGGAGGCCTCTCCGGGTACAGAGGCTGCAGTGAGAGCCCAGGAGCAGGACCCACAGAAGCATTCACAGCTCAGAGCTGAGAAGAGCCCATTGTTGCGGAGAGTTGAGAGGCTCCCCAGAGGAGGGCTGCTGTGTGGAGGCTTCACGTACTTAACCAAACTTGAGCCAGGATTTCATTTATTTTTTAATTCATTAAATGTTTTTAATTTGTTTATGTGAAGTACAGCACACATTCAGACAAATGCACAAAACATAAGTGTATTCGCTGTGTTGAATTATTACAAAATACATAGCAAATGCTCAGTGAGGGTCAAGAAGTACAGCATGCCAGCACCCTCAAAGCTCCCTGGTGTCTCCCAATCACCTCCCCAAATGGATCTCATACCCTGACTTCTACTTTTATAGCTTAAGTTTGTCTATTTTTGAACCAAATCTACATGGAATCATTGAGTAGGTATTTTGTGTTTGACTTCTTTTGTGTGCTATATTAAAGAGATGTTTCCATGTGGTTTCATGTAGCTGATGTTGGCTCATTGTTATTGCTGTGTAGTATTCCACTGTGTGACTATCTCCCCATTCTACTGTGAGGGGCATTTGTGTCGTGTCCAGTTAAGGGTTATTACAAATAAGGCTGATAGCAATGCTCTTACCTCTGCTTCTAGATGCATTCACACTTGCATGTTTATTGGGTATATACTCAGGAATACAATTGCTACATCATAGGCTTTGCATGTGTTCAACATTAATAGTATCCAGTATCCAAGCAATTCTCCAAAGTGATGAGTAAGGCAGCCAGGAAAAAGAGGAAGGGGTCTGACCTGCTGATAAAGCGGCCACAGAACAGAAATAGGGTTGGATGGGAATAGATACCTCCAGGTCCTACCTGCCCTGGCTAGGCCCTGTGCCAGCCACCCCACACACTCTGACTGAGCCCTGCAGCACCTGTGTTTATCCTGTCTGAGGAATCTGAGGCTCATACAGGAAGGGGCCTGTCTCAGTTCACTCAGTGAGTTAGTGGCCATGCTGGGCTGTGCCCAGGGCCTGATCACAAAGCCCTGTGTGGGCTCTGGGCTGGCTCCTAATTAACGGGCTGTCTGAGGGCACCCTGTGGGCAGATCTGGAGGAGCCAAGACCTGGAACTCGACTGGAGCAGGTGCTGGAGAAATGGGCCCGGCCTGGCACTGGTTAGAGGGAATCCAGCCAAAAGCCTAGACAGCAGCAGGGTGACAAGTGGTGTCTGATGAACCCCTGCTGTCCAGAAGCCCCACACCAAGAAGCCAGTGGCCCAGCCTGCAGCTGGTGGTTGGCAGTGGTTGGGAGCTGGGCCTCGTCCCCAGTCAGCATGAGGCCTAGGTGGAAACTGGGTGCAGAACTCTGCTTCTGGGAGACTTGGGACCCTGGCCATTTTAGGAGCCCCCCCTCCATGTGCAAGTCCTCAACAGTCACTGGGAGCCAAGCAATCAGGGCTTAACAAACTCCTGCTGTCTTCACCCACCTCCTCCCCTTCTATGGACCTTTCTGGCTTCATGTTTTGGGTCCCTGTTATATCTTGTGCTGTTTGGATTTAAGAAACTCCCTTTATAAAACTTTTTCTAAGTAACAAGAGGGACTTTCTAATTATGAAATCAATGCATGTAAATATAGCTTAGTAATTCTCCTATGCACACAGAAGGTCAGACATAAATAATTTCCCCACATTGAGGTCACACTGATGATTCTTTTTAGTAGCCTATTGCATCACTTCTCAACATACTGTTATGTTTCCATGTCGGAGCCTCATGGCAGGATTGCACAGCACTTAGAACACAGATTCAAGTGCCACTGGAGTCTGTGAGCTGAAGTGTGGGTTTCAGACCTTGGCTCTGCCATTCAGTTTTGCAACTGACCCAGTTAGTTGCCCATCTGGGCCTTGGTTTCCTTGTCGGTAAAATGAGGATGATCACAGTACCGACCCCCATAGGCTTGTTGTGAGGACAACTGAGGGAAGCCCTCCTCCTAACCTGGAATGTAGTGAAGCTCAATGCGTGCCAGACATTAAGATTTTTGTTACTCTGAAGCTAACAACAGAGCCTGGCATCCTGGCCCCAGATCTTGGAGCTGGACCTCCCAGGCCTACTTTCCTGACCCCTAAGCTGGCTGGGGTGCTGGAGCCTGTGGTCAGTTCCCAAGTGGCAGTCAGTGGAGTTTCTGAGAGGTTCTCCCTGAGGAAGGAGAGGAATTAGAAAAGAGGGGAAGGAGCAGGGAGAAGCCAGAGAAGTAGCCCTGGGAACCTGGTTCCAGGACCTGTCGAGTCTCTATCACTCCAATCTTCCCCACCTGGTGTCTGAGCCCTGGGTCCCCCCAGCTGGCCTCACGGGAAGAGGCATGACCCCTGGGAGAGAACCCGAGTGTGACTTCTCTCACATGGTGCAGATCAAATTATAGCCACCCCTCGGAGGAGTTGCTAAGAGTTGAGGGCATGCTGTCCATCGGCCTTGGGGTGGACCCACCGACTCCTAAGTGTGGGTACAGATGTGGGCCGGAGGCTCAGCTCTGAGCACTGGGATCCACAGGAGATAAACAGCTACCGACAGGCCATACAGACGATGGCTGAGGACATCCTGTCGCTGCGGAAACACGCCAGGGTCCTGGAGGCAGAGAACCGCATGCTGAGGAAGCACCTGATCCAGGAGGAAATGGAGGAGGAGCAGGACAATGCTGATAAGACCCAGAAGCTGAGTGAGGGCAGAAAGGGTGCCCGCCTGAGCCTCGGCTCTGAATTGTGGGACAGGGCGGTGGGGACCTTTCCCGGGTGTTCATGTTACTGGACACGGGCTGATAGGAGCCAGCTGGGCCCTCTCCGTAGTGGGAAACAGGGAATCCAGTCCTGTCTCAAACCTCAGGGCTGAGAGACGCCTGCCCTCACCCCCAAACTGTGCTGATTGGAGCTGGAAGATGCTTCCTGCCTGAGCCACCTCTCCCCATGCCCCCACCACCAGTGTCCATGAGGCGGAAACTGCTGCTGAGTGAGCTGGACATGAAGAAACTGAGGGACACGGTGCAGCATCTGCAGAATGAGCTGATCCGAGTGAGCTGGGGCAGAGAGCATGGGGAGCGAGGGTGGGAATCTGTGGAGAAGTGTCTGGGAGCAGAAGGAAGAAGGGCCTAGAGGGAGGGGAGCCAGCACAGTGGAGAACCCAGCAGCGGGGCTGGGGTGAGCCCTCTAGGCCAAGGGCACTCCTTCTTCCTGCTTGCCCCCGTCCCCCACCATCAGAGGAATGATCGAGAGAAGGAGCTGCTTCTGTACCAGACTCAGCAGCCACAGGCTGCGCTCCCGAAGCGGCCACAGGACAAACTGCAGAAGATGAAGGCGCTGGAGGAGACCGTGCGGCACCAGGAGAAGGCAGGTGCAGGGGGGAAGGCTGCCAGGGGCCAGCCACGGAGGGAATGTGTGGAGCCCCAGCCCAGGCCAGCCTCTGCACTCTGCTCCCCAGGTGATTGAGAAGATGGAGGGGTTGCTGAAGAGCAAGCTTCAGGAGAGGAGCGAGCCCCTGCCCGACAGGCTGCGGGGAAAGCCCGGCAGGGGTGAGACGCTCCCGGAGTCATCCAGGCCCTGGAGTTCCTCCCTCCCAGAGCTTCCCAGTTCCAGGAGCTCCTCCCAATTGTGGCCGACGGTGGGACGCCCCTATTCACAGGCCCTTGCCTCTCTTCTCCCAGGAAACCCACAGGACACAAAGTATGAGCCAGGCTAGAAAGGCGTAGGGGAGAACCCTGCAGACCAGAGCAGCAGAGAGGGGCTGCCCGGAAAGTTTCCAATTTCTTAACTCCAGGATCCTTCAAATTATGTCCTCCTCTCCCGTGTTTGCAGAATCTGCTTCTATGTAAAACAAACAAAATGCTTTGGTTAAGTCAATGATTTGTTTTTTCCATCGATGTTAACCAAAGCCACCTAGAGCTGCCATTTAGAGGTAGCTCTGGTGAGCAGGAGAGAATCAGGTCAGACCTAGCAGGCGAGCCCAAGCAGATTTCCCTGCGCCTGTCTGGGCCGCCTCACCAGAGACCCCCGTGAGCCCAGCCAGCATTCAGCCTTTACTGCGTGGGACTGGGAGTGGGGGTGTGCTTCTGAAGGCCTTTAGAAAACAATGAAAGTAGGGCTCCCCTTTCAGGCCCTGAGGTCACCCGGGAGTAGGATGAGAAACAAGAAGGCAGCTTCAGGACCAAGGAAATGACCATACCAAGAGCAGAGAAGGGAGGAAAGACAGAAGGATGAAGAGCTAGACCTAGGACAAATGGCAGGGGAGTGATTAGGGAGAACGGTGGGAACAGATTCTAAAGAGTTGAGAATAATGGTCTGAGGTGTGTGGGCCTGATCCCACTGACAGTGGGGAGCCATTAAAGGCTTGGGAGCAGAGGAGGGGCAGAATGGAGCAAAATGCTGGAGCAGATCAGGCCAGGGATATGGAGACAGACAGCCCGCCTCATGAACATCTGTGGCCATTTCCGTCTTCCCCATGCTCTCAGCCTCAGGACTTCCCCAGGATCCTACAGGAGAGAACCTGCCTGTTGACCTTTACTCAGTGCTGCTGGCAGAAAACTCGAGGCTGCGGGCAGAGCTGGATAAGAGCCGCCAACAGTCGGCCCCCATCATTCTGCAGCAGCAGGCCCTGCCGGTAAGAGCCACCAGCACAGGCTTGGCCTGGGTCTGCCTGTGCAGGTCAGCAGATGCCAGCCACCACCTAGTACAATCCAAGTCAAAGACTAAGACCAGCAGCGAGGCTTCCCAGTGTCTCCGATGTGCCTGGCATCTCCTGGAGTGCCAGCCCTCAAGTCTTGCTCTTTCTCCTTGGGGGACACACATGGGTTTGGAAGCTTCACCTTGACCCTTACCTAGCTTCCTGGGAGAAAGCAAGCCCCTAACTGGCCCTTAATCTCTGACTCCTTTTGCCACCTGGCTGGCCTGCTCTTGAACTCCACACAGACCTCTCAGAAACTCCAGTCTGAAGCACTTCCTGGGACTGGTATAGCCTTGGAGAGTCCTTTTCCCCTACCCCCTGGGGAGTTGGGAGCAGGAGACCTGGCAGAGAGGCTTTGAGAGACAGATGGCCCAGGCCACTCCAAGTGCACAGAAACCCTGCCTGCACAGGTGGGTGCCCAGGCTCCAGACATGCCCTGGCCCCACTCCACATTTGAGGCTGCTATAGGGGCCCTGCTTTACGTAAACCCAAAGACAGGCCATTTGAATTACAGGAGGTGAGTTCTGTTTGAAAGCATTCCTGAAGCATGGACATCTAGGGAAAGTGCTGGGGACAGTGGAGCCCTTGTTTCACAGATTCTTCACTTCACAAAAACTCCCAGTTCAAGATTCCAGTCTATGCACCAATGGGCACTCCCTCATGCATTTTACATTTAAAAATTGATGTGCAGCCCTGGTCAATGTGGCCCAGTTGGTTGGAGTATCATTCCGTGCACTCATTCCCAGTCAGGCCACATTTCTAGGTTGTGGGTTCAATCTCCAGTCAGGGTGTGTAATGGAAGCAACCAATCAATGTCTCTCTCTCTCTCTCTCTCTCTCTCCCCGTCCTCTCTCTAAAATCGATAAAAAATATCCTCAGGTGATGATTAAAAATAATAAATAATCTATAATAATAAAAGCATAATATGCTAATTAGGCCAGACAACCAACCTTCCAGACGTCCTTCTGGATGACCTTCCAGAACCACCAGTGGGCAGGGGGTGGGGCCAGCAAGCCTGCGCTGCCAGGCCAGCATGGTGGTCCTGGCGCCATACCTTCCTCAGACGCAGGGGTGGGGGGGACAAGGGGCAGCACAGTCCCAGAGCCTCCGTAGAGGCCGGATGGGGCGCAACTGTAGCACCTCAACCTCCCCTGGCCAGCCCAACCCCAGATCGCCCCCTCCACCAGTGGGGGGGTAGGGGGTGAGGGCAGGGTCAGTGCTAAGGAGCAGTGGCCCTAGCTTCTGGTGAGTGAACAGCACTCCCTCCCCCGCCCCACTTCCCCCAGTCAGAAGCCAGAAGCCAGGCTCAGGGCTGGCATGAGCCTCTCCTACTTCTGGGGGCAGACAGGCAGTAAGGAGCGAGGATTTCTGGACTGCAAGAGCCTAGACTGTGAAAAAGATGTCTGAGTGCCAGTGTAGGCCCGATCCCCAGGGGGTCCTGGACTGTGAGAGGCCACAGGCTGGGCTGAGGGACCCCGCCCCCCTTCCCACCAGTGCACAAATTTCATGCATCGGGCCTCTAGTAATAATGATGATGATGATGATGATGATGATGATGATGTGCAAAAGCCATATACCCAAAATCTGTGGGAAGAAGAGCTGTGAAAAAAGCACATGCCATATCAGGTCTGAACTTCAGGAAGAGGCTGTAACCCTTGTCTGAGGCTCTGCATCAGAGAGCTGATTTGGGCCTCAGCTGGGGCCATGTGTGAGTTTCTGCTTTGGCCACAGGATCTTCTTACCAACACTTCGGACAAGCTTAACCTCCTGGCCAAGCTGGAACAAGCTCAGAACCGGATCCTATCCCTGGAAAGCCAGGTAGGTGAGGCAAAGGAGTTGGTCAGACTGGGCAGGCTCACCACTTGGCCCATGACCAGGGTTGGAGCTCAGTATGTGAGCAGGGGCAGGCTCAACCTATGACCAGAGCCAAGGATCAGTGTGGACTCAGAGTCAGGGTTCAGGATGATGTTGGAACTCAAAGAAGATCATCTGTGTCTTAGCCAGACTGACTTGGCCCCTCTGTACCCAGCCCTGCCACCCACGGTCTCTTGGGGAAGCAGCAAGCTCAGATTGCCCAGGGCTTTGCTTTCTGCCCAGAGAATAGGCTCAAGCTCTGGTTGTCTCAGATCTCAGGGATGGGCCCTGCTACCTAGAGGTTCCCCATCTGTCCTTCCCATGGTGGCAGTTAGAGGACTCAGCTCGACGCTGGGGACGAGAGAAGCAGGACTTGGCCACACAGTTGCAAGAGCAAGAGAACGGCTTGGGTCACCCTTCAAACTCCATCATCGCAGACCTGCCTGTGAGTGATCCCTCTGGAAGAGCTCCCTGGGGTTCGGGCAGTAGAGCTGGCAACTTCTACCTGGAGTCACTGGGCCATGAAAAAAACTGTCCAGGGGAGCCAGCTCCCTAGCTGGAATTCAGAGGACCTAGGCTCAGCTTCTACTCTATTACCAACAGAAGAAGCCCTGGCCTTGTCTCAGTTCCTCACCTGTCTAAGGGGAATAGAAACCTTGTCAGAACTACCCCCTTCCCCATGGTGATGGTGAGAATCAAAAGGGAGAGAGCTGTGGATGAAGTATGTACACAAGCACTCCTGGAATGCTCTGGGGCTGGCTGTACTTTAGGACTGGATTTACGCATGAGCAAAGCACACATGGCCATCACCCAACTCCATAGTGCCTAAGACTGTCCCATGAGCACACCCTTCTTGGGCAACTGCAATGCTGCAGACCTGCCAGGGATAGGAACATGTTGCCAGAAACATCGCAGTTTCCTAAAAACAAACAGACCTGCTCACGACTGTCCCTCAAGCTCAGCCTGGGCCACCCAGCCCCCAAAGCAAAACCCCTGATTGCTCCTGCTCTTGAGCCATCAGTACTCAGCTCAATTCAAGGCTCCTGGCCAGGTCTGAAGAAGATGGGGGGACTGACAGGGAACATAGGGATTCCTTTGCAAATTCACCTGCTGGGCTCCCGGAGAAATTGGATACAACCTGCTATGGTTAAATGAGTTTGGAAATCTTTGGGAAATCATGGCCCTCTAAGACATGGCTTGCCAGGCAAGCTGCATTTGAATGGGCCCCATGCTCCTTGAGGCAAAGGCAAACTCACTTCATTTTGCTTTGCACAATGCAGAACTCCTCAACCCATGCCAAGGACTATGGGCGACCCTCAAAACTGGACCCCTTAATGCCCAGCTCAGAGACAAAGTTCATCAAGCCCTCAAACTCCCAGCAGACCTGAGTCCCAACAGACCTGAGAACTGGAGCAGCTCCCTCACTGTGTGCTGGGGTTTTTGACCACATCCTCAAAATGACTTTATTAAATGCTGTAAGTCGGTGAGCATTTGCCTCTTTCCTGGAGCAGGGCAGGCTGGAGGTGCCCAGATTCCTCCTCCCAGACCCCATTCTGGGCCTGGGCCCTCAGCTGCAGTGAAATAGTCTCCTGCCTCCCATCTTTAGAGAGCTGAAGGCTAGAGTGGACCCAGGAGGGTGGGGAGAAAAGTCTTTCCAAAGCAGAAAGGCTCCAACAGTGGAGCCAAGGAAACAAGCTCCTTCCAGGCTTCTGGAAGAAGTGAGACCGCCAGAGACCAACTCTGTTAGGAGATGTGAGGGAGGGTGGAATTTCCACCTGCCCCCAAACATCTACCATAACTAAAATCCCTTCAAGTTTAGTTTACCTGTTTCTTGGGAAGGGAGACACTTGAAGTCTGCCTGTGACAATCAGTATTAATAGTGTGACATGCCCCGTCAATGTAGCCAGGGACAGGAAAGCAGATGGGACTAAAAGAAGGAGTCCTCCCCAGAAAGGAGCCCTGGGTTCTCACTACAAGCATGCAATGTGACCTTGGGTCACTCAAGCAACCTCTCTAGGCTTCATTTTCCCCATCCATCCCATGCACAGCTTGACCTCTCTGATGGTAAGACCCTTTCCAGCTATAACATTTCTGAGTCAAAAAATGACTCAAGCCAGGAGAAGAGAAAGGAAGGAGAGAGACAAGAAAGAGTATTGTGATGGGGAAAAGCAGAAAGGCTCCAACGGTGGACTCAGGACCTACAGATCCTGGTAAAAGGCTTCAAGCTAACTGGGCTGCTATCCCAAGCAGGACTAGCTCCCCTGTCTACTAGCAGGACTTAGGCTTGGGTAGTCAAGGACCAGGAAGGATCGGGCACCTGGTTCAGGTCAGAGTTATGGAACTCAGAAGGGGTGAGGGGGCCCAAAATTGGGACCAGTTCAAATAATGGACCAAAGATTCTGCTGCAGTCTCCCTGCCTACTGCCCAGAGCTTAGAAAAGTGGGCATGTCCCCCTAGAGCAGGAATTTGAGGCCTGGGGAAGCCCAGAGAAGGGTCAGGTGGGGCAGAGGAAGTATACTGGCCTTCCGTCCCCAGGGTCAGTCACCTCATAACAGCCCCTCACTCACAGGCCTCAGCCCTGGTCATGCCCAAGACTCTGGCTGGACCTTGGCAGGAAGTCTTCATGGCCCACCTGGACCTTGGCTACCCACCTACCCAAAATTCAGCCAAGCAGAGCACTGCACGAGCCATCAGTACTCAGCTCAATCAGTACTCACTCACCTCTGATAGGTGAGCCTGCCCCGGAAGCCAAGATTGGCCCACACCTCTCAGGATGCCCTGTTCTCTCAGCAGAGCTCCGTCAGGTCCTCTGTCCCTCTGCCTGCTGGCCTGGGCACAGTAGCAATAGCCCTCCATCTGCTCTCAGCCCCAGGCAGCAGGAGGCTTGATCCTGCTGGCTCCTGACCTGTAGGTAGGTGGATCCCAGCAGAAATGGCTTCAGGTGTGGCTGCCCATTTGTGCTCAGATCCAACTGTTGATCCATCAGAGAGCATCTCCACAGGAGTGATACCTTAGTGGCCAGATGGAAATGAAAACACTTCACATAGTTCAGCCCTTTATTGCCTTCATGGAGTGGGGGAAGAGGGGGAAAGGTGGGTGAAAGAGAAGTGCCTCCACTGAGTTGGGGTAGAAAGGAGCAGGGGTGGGGAACCAGGAGCTGAGGATGCAGACACTTCCATGGGCCCCCGCCCCACACTTCGGGCCTTCCTTTCACACCACTCTCTCAGTCAAGCCTTGGGCGGGTCCTGGGTGAAGGGCCGGAAGGTGAAGAAGATGGGCTGGTTGGGCATCAGGATGAGGTTGAATGTTGTGCCCACGTCATTGAGATGCTGGATTTCAACTCTGAAATTCTCCAGAATCTGAGAAAGAGGGGTGATGGGCTTAGTGGACAGGTGGGGAGGGTCCATCTCCCCTGGGCCAGATTCATTCAACTGTAGGCAGTGCCTGTTGAGTGTGATTTGGGGAGCTTCAAGGGGTCCACACCAGCTCCTACTTAACCTGAGAACATACCACTTGTGCTGCCCCCTTGATTTAGACTTTCAGTTTAGTTTCTAAAAAACCTTATCCCACCCCACTCCCATCCCATCACCAACATGGGGGGACAGATGGCCAGGGGCACCAATGGGTGACAAGCATATTAGCCCAAAAGAGGAGGCAGCAGGGAATTGTGGGGGAGGGCTCTGAACAGAGATGGGAGTAGGAGGGTTGGTGCTTTCATTAAGGCCAAAGCCAGCCCAGGGTGCCCAGAGGTCCCCAGGCTAGACTCACATGGATAAGGAACAGGGTCATCTCAAGCTCGGCGATCCGACGACCCACACACTGCCGAATACCCCAGCCAAAGCCCAGGTTCCGGAAGTGGATGAGGTCCTTGTTTTTACCCAGCCATCGGGTGGGGTCAAATTTGCCCGGATTGAGGAAGAAGGTGGGGTCTTGACCCATGGCATAGACGGCCACCTGCACCAATGTCTGGGGACAAGGTGAACAGATGCCTAAGTAGTCCTCACCTCCTCACAGCTGGGAGCATAACCCAGCTTCCCCTCTCCCGCTCCCCAGCCCAGCTGCCCAGCTGTCCAGAAGACATGGCCCACTGGGTGACCTTGAACAAGACCCCACTTCTCCCTGAGCTTCACCCATCAAAGGAGCATGACTGAAGCCAGTAGGCCAGGGATGGCCCAAGGGATTGTCCTGCCCTTTTCTCAGCACCAGAAGGCCCCCTGACACCCAGGTGATCCATGGTGTTGCCCTCCTAACTCTGGGCTCCAGCAACATTCCAGGGATCACCCACTATGCCTACCACCTCTGCCCTTAACACTTTGCTGCTGCCAAGGACCCACCAGCCAGCTCCAGCAACACAGGCAGAAGCCCCCATCTGTAGGCAATTGCAGTCAGCCCCCAACCTCCTGTCTGACTGGCAGGTCCTGCAGCCCTGCTGTACCTACCTTGGCAGGAATCATGTAATCTTGAAGAACCAAGTCGTTTGGGAGGTATCTCTGCAGAGTCACAGAGATGGGGTGGAGTCTGCAGAGGAAGGCATTCAGAAGCTAATGCCCCTAGGCCAGGACAAAGCCCAGACCCAGCATGCATCTCAGGCCCAGTGGCAGCACCCCTGGGGAATCAGGAGGCAAGACCAGGACTCTATTTCCTCCTCCCCATTCCCAGCTGTCTCCCCAGACTTCTCACTTCCTGCTACCGATCTCCACCGGTCCCCGGGCACCATGCTAACCCCACCCGGGATTGGGGTGGAGGCAGGCATGGGTGGGTGTGGGCTTGCCTCAGTGTCTCCTTGATGCTAGCTTTTAGAAGCGGGACCAACTGCAGCATCCTGCTCATGTCTTCCCCGGCCTGGCACCGGGCAGCCAGAACCTCCTCCCGCAGCATCTCCTGCACTCTCAGGCTGCGTGCCATCTCGTACAAGTGCCACTGCAGTGTCATGGACGTCTGGGAGGGAGTGTCGGGGTGCAGAAGACCAGGAGGGCCTGTCACTCATGAGGCACCTAGACCCGTGCTAAATTTTCATTTCCAAGAACATCTTCCCACCCTTGTCCCAGTATCCAGAGACCATCATCTACAAAAGCAAAATCCAATTCAAAAGGCAAATGTTCCAGAGGCTTTCTCCAGCCCAGGCAGGAAGGAATGTTTGGGGTAACACTTGTCCCTACCTTCATCCCTCATGTCACCAGAGCCTACCACCTCCCCAGCCAGTAGAGGGCACCCACACAACCAATGCCTTCTTCCAAAGGACTCCGGAGCCCTTCCAGGCCAAAGACCCCCTGTAACAGTTCTCCCTTGACTAACTGCCATTCCTTTTGAAACGCCTGTTAAACAAGCAGCTGTCTCCCCAGTAGAACTTCCACAGACTTTAGCATTTACCTATAGTAGTGACGTGGGAAAGAAGGTTCAGATCATGAAGCCAGAACCACCACCCTGGTTCCTATCCGTGTTGCAATTAGCATACGGTGTATACTGAGATGAACCTGCTAATCTCATTATTAGTCAGAGTCATGACCGTTAGTTGGTCCCTGGAGGTATGAGTGGCCCTCATCAAGCCCCACAGGCCCACATACCTTTGTGTGGGACCCCAGGCTAGTGCAGCCCTCCCTCCTAAGGTTAGGGCATGGGTTGTTGCACATATCTTACCAAGAATCATATTTTTGTCCAAAAAGTCGGAATATTCTCCTTCCTCCCAGCAGAAGCAATCATGAAAGCATGCCATCCAGTCACTTCCCAGTTGGAAATCCTTGTCTGATTCCCCAGATCAAGCCCAGATCCCCAGATCAAATACAGGGCCCCCAACACCTGCCTGCTGCTCCCAGCCTCGCCACCACCTCTCTCCAACATGCACCTAATACTCCAGCTCCACTGAGCTACACGCAGCTCCTAAGCCCAGAAATCTTCCTCCAGCTGTTTCCTCTTCCTAGAATTCCCTTCCCAGCCATGGAAGCCAACCTGTACTCCTTTACGGCTCAAATCAAATCTGTGTATTTGTCTCACTATTTCCAAAACTGGACAGGGTGGCTACTCAGGAAATACTTGCTTATTAAGATAGTCAACTAAGTTAACTGCTCTGTGCTCCAGTTTCCTCATCTGAAAAGGGGGATAATAGTGATATACCTCATAATTTAGTTTGTGAGCACTAAATGAATTAATACATATGACAAGCTTAGGCCCTGTCTGCCATATACTGCATGCTCAATAAACATTACCTAACAATAATAGCTGCTTTGGTGCAGGTACGCACTTTTTAGAGATCCTTTCTACATAACTGACTAGAACTAGATTTAAAACAGTGGTTCTCAACCTTCCTAATGCCGAGACGCTTTAATACAGTTCCTCATGTTGTGGTGACCCCCAATTTCATTGTTACAAATTGAACATAATTAAAGCATAGTGATTATATAGGTGTTTTTCCGATGGTCTTAGGCGACCCCTGTAAAAGGGTCGTTTGACCCCAAAAGGGGTCATGACCCACAGGTTGAGAACCGCTGATTTAAAATAAACTCAGCCCTGGCCAATTTGACCCAGTGGATAGAGTGTCAGCCTGTGGACTGAAGGGCCCCAGGTTTGATTCCAGTCAAGGGCACATGCCCAGGTTGTGGGCTCGATCCCCAGTAGGAGGCCTGCAGGAAGCAGCCCATCAATGATTCTCTCTCATCATTGATGTTTCTATTTCTCCCTCTCCCTTCCTCTCTGAAATCAATAAATATATATATATATTTTTAAAATAAAATAAACTCAAAGGCTCCATCTGCAACCTGTCACAGGGACTGAAAGTCTTCCTAAGATGCCTAGAAAATAGTTATTCACCCAGGGGACTTGACACATATTTCTTCCCGAAATCTTATTTTTTCCCTCCCTCCTCCTGGCAACAGCCTTCAAGATACAAGTTGAATTTTAGCTCCTCTAAGGGGCCTTCTCCCCATCCTGCAGGGCCTCTTCTCAGCATTGTCAGTACCTGATCCAGGCCTACTCATCCAGCTTTATGACTATGGTATGGTGGTTATCCTTGTCATGGGCTGAATTGTGTTCCCCCACATTCATTTGTTGAAGTCCTAACCCCCAATACCTCACAATGTGACTGTATTTGGAGGCAAGGTGTTTAAAGAGGTAATAAGGTAAAATGAGATCACTGGGGTGGACCCTAATCTAATAGGACTGGTGTCCTTATAAGAAGAGGAGATCAAGACACTGACACACACAGAGGGATGACTGTGTGAAGACATAAGGGAGAAGAGGGGCCTCAGAAGAAACCAACCCTGCTGACACCTTGATCTTGGACTTCTAGTTCTAGAACTGTGAGAAAAGTACATGTCTGTGGTTTAAGCCATCCTGTGTGTGGTACTTTGTGTGGCAGCCCTAACAAACTAATATGTGAGGGAGAATGGAAGACAACAAAAGGGTCCTAGAAGGCAGAGCCCAGGGCTAATTCCACTGGCTCCCAGCTTTTCTGAGGTCCTGCCTGCCTTTCTGAATCCAGTGAGCTGTGTCCCCAACCTGTGACTGAAGAGCTAACCACCTATGCCTAGTTACCCCTTCTCATAGGTTAAAAAAATGTTGGATCAGCCTCAAGGGATGACTTGACCTCAGCCTCCTAAGAGGTGATTATTTAGGAAATAGAGTCAAGAGGAGATCCACCCCACATGGGCAGGGGTTTGAATGATGCAAACTGGTGGAGGAGGGACACAGGGACACAGGAAGGGACAGAATGCCCTACGATCACCTCACCGTGTCCACGCCCCCTGCCAACATC